TCTAGCTGTTACATACTTTTGCACGAATACAATATACCCTTTTACTCTACGAGTAACGGGTATAAAAAGTAGATATGTTGTTACGTGGGCATATTAGTGCCCTAGTCCTGAAAGGACTTGGGCCGAGGGAAAGTCATCCGATGTTCAGGCACTAATTTTTGCCGGCATAAGCTCGCCGGATAGGGTGGGTTCTTGGTAAGACTTTCTCCTCTCCAACATAACGAGAATAAATATTAAGATGCCTGAAAATTAGTAAGAGTTGTAAAGTCCGTCGGTCATCAGTCTACATTGCCCCACAAGCGAAGCTTTCGCTTGATTGTAGCACGATCGGGCAATGTTTCGGCCACATTCCCTCCCCTTCACACATTCGCGTGCCAAATGGATCGTCGCGGGCCGCGCAATACGATCCCCTATTGTCAAGGTTGTTCGTCAAAAGTTATGTCATTATTCTTTACCTACTCCACTTATCGCGTCAGCACCCCCATTCTGAAAACTTAGCACCTCATGATTTTAAGTACGTTTTCACATTATAATTTTATTGAATAAAATATTGGCTAGTGCCATTTATGAGTAATATTATTATGGAGAATACATATGAGTTTAATTTTAATTGACCAACAAAGTTTGTTAGCGGAGAGTATCGAATTTACCACCCGTACAAGGTGCACACGTCAGCAAATTGCTGACTATTCACGACTACAAACGTCGCTCTGAGGCTCTTGTTTTTGTTCATACAAACACAAGGCTGATACTCGCCGCTGAAAAGTCAATTTTTTTATTATATTATATAAATTACAACCAAAAGGGTATACTGATTGATGTAAACTATTGTAATGCCTTGAGGAGGCCTAAAGTGGAATTTTTACTTCCAGATAGTCAAACAAAGGCACGAATATATATATATATAGTTGATAAAGGAACCGTGTTCCGACAAACTTACCCCTTTACTGGTCCTGGGCGATGAGATCTCGACGCGCTGGATCCTGGGCTTTTTGAAGAAATTAGAAACATATATATATATACGTGCAAACACTATCTTAAAACACACAACAAAAAAAGTCTCGTTCTTAAACACAATCACTTATTGTATATATATATGTATATGTATGTAGGTAGGTCTGGCTTGATGAGTTGCGGGCCGCGGCGTCTCCGATGTCTTGCTCGCTTCGCTTGATATTATTGCTGTTGCACTTGCATTCATAAATGCCTGAGTTCACAATTTGTTTTTTCTTTTTGGTTTGCTTCACGTTTGTCTGTAATTAAGGCATTTAATTGCCTTTATTTTTCTGTCACTTTGTTATGGTTTTTGGGTAGGTTTCTTGCACTTTATTGTCTTTTTAGACCTGGCGGCATATCGCCTGTTCCAGGGCGTGCTTTTGGTCCCGGCGTCCTTGCACGGATCGCTTGTACATCTTGACCACTTTAAGGATGATTAAGAAAACAAACATAGCCATGACGATCTTCAGATTATGATTCACGTCCTGAATGTCGTCCTTGTGATCTATTATTTTGATGGTGTTGATCACATTGGCCGTACTGTGGTCCACTTTGGAACTGGTTCCACCCATGGTAAAGTCCTTGATAATGATAATAACGCTTTTCCAGGACGAGGATACCGTAGGATTTCTTCCCAGGATATGTTCACTAGCTCCTATAGACTTCTTTCATGGAGGGTTGCTGTTCATCGACGGCGAGCAGGTCTTCCTTCGAGGACGTTGATTTATTTAGTCACTGTAACAGGACTTCCTTCAGGATATGTTGTGGTTCCTCAATGGCAAACAAGACTATCTTCAGGATTCCTGGTCTTGGCAGTCATTGGCGGCTTTTGGAATATAGTGCTTACACTATAATGCTGTGAGATCAGAGGGAACTCTGTCTGTCTTTTCTACCTGGCTACGGTGTTTTATACCAGTGTAGAGCTTTTTCTAGCCTCCCGTGATATTTGGGTTATTTAGGTGTTCCCACCTATGATTTCCCCTATCTGTAGCGTCAACGCCCGACCGATGCACTTTGCCAGCTGCCGGTGTATTGTTACCAGTAGGTCGATCGCGGTCGTTGTTCTGACCGAAAAGATCGTCAAATTGCACATTCCTTTGCTTGTTTCGGTGAGTCAACGGGTCGATTGCCCCTCTTCCTTTGCCTTGAGATTCGCTGTTGTTTTCTACGTGCATCTTTCTCCATCAAATAAAATGAAGAAGAGGGCGTACGTAGCAGGCTCGAAGATATCGATGCGGAAATGCATGGAATGACTTCGGAAAAAGGAATCTTCGTACGACCATCGAATAAGTGCTTGGTTTCTCCTGTTTTTTTTTCCTATTATTTAGGCGCCCTTAAACGTGTGGCTTCGACCCACTCCTGCACCAAGAGTCTCATGTTCATCCGACTGCTCTAACCGGGCTATGGTCAAACTATTAATTATAGGCCTATACGGATAATTATGTTGGTGGGGTTTTTTGATGAGGACTATTGTGCATAGAGGTTATCTGAAAAAAACTTTCCGTCGCTGGACAGAAACATACATACATATACATACATACAAAAGTTACAACAAAAATTAATACCTGTAAAAAGAAAATATGCGCTGTAGTCAGCAAAGACAAGGAAAAGACAAAAATATATCGTATTGCCGTGTACGAGCATGGGTGCTGCGGCCAGCCAAAATTACCCACCTCTCCGATTGGATTACCATCGCGGTGTCGAGGTTTTGCTTATTGCACTTTTCCCCCCAGAGATGACACATATTTTTATTTATACTTTTATTATTTATTTATTCATTATACCCTTGTAGAGGGTATTATAATTTCAGTCAGATGTTTGCAACGCAGTGAAGGAGACGTTTCCGACCACATAAAGTATATATATTCTTGATCAGCACCAATAGCCGAGTCTATCTAGCCATGTCCGTCTGTCCGTCTGTCCGTCTGTCCGTCTGTCCGTCTGTCCGTTTCTATGCGAACTAGTCTCTCAGTTTTAAAGCGATCGCGATGAAACTTTCCCGAAGGTCTTCTTTCTATTGCAGGTAGTTCATATGTCGGAGCCAGCCGGATCGGACCACTATATCTTAAGGCTCCCAAACAAATATAAGAAAATTCATTGTAACTTTGTAGGAAGTAGGCGTTTTGATTCTTGACTACTTAAAAACAAAATTGAAATTGGAACTGCACCGAGTGAGTATTCTTTTATCTACAAGGGTATATAAGCTTCGGCTGGCCGAAGGTAGCTTCCTTTCTCTTTTTTCTTTCTTTTTGCACATAGTTTTTATGTCCTGGTGTTCATAATCTTTCGGAAATCCCTCCGGGCCTCCGCGCACCTCTCCGGGTCACGCCTGGCGAGCTTGTCTGCTGCGCGGTTCATATGTCGGAGGAGCCGCTGCTCCTCCCGCTGCCGTCTATGGACATCAGCTCGCACTGTTGCCATTTGTCGATGAAACCTCTTAAGAAAGTCCTGCTCCCGTTTTCGGCTTTGCTTGAGTTCTTTTAACTCATGATAAAGAGGTGCGTTCCTCTCCCATTCCTCGGCTTCTCGAAGTATCTGTATTTCGAGTTGCTGTACCCGATCCTCTCTCAACTCTAGGCTCCTCTCGAGCCCAGAGAGACACTCCATGATGGAACATAGTTCCGTTAGCTCCCGTTGAATCGTACGCCTGAGTGTGGACACATAGCGAGCTGTGTTCACAATTTGGCGGTACCATCCATTAGCCTGCATGGTTGTTTTCTGGTAAGGTGTCGTTGCCTTGTCGGGGTTTATATAGCGGACCCGCTCTCCCGAATTCCATGTTCCCTAGTCCCAGCTCCGTTCTGAGCTTTTCACTCTCTTGCACTTTGAACGATCCTCGGATTTCACCCAGGGGTCAAGCGATATAGAGGTCTTTGGCATGGAATATGCCAACGCTCTTTCCACCGACATTTCCCAGCTCATATAACGCCTTGCCTTTACGCTGGAGTACAACACATCGAATTCGATTCGGGCCAAGCTTGGCATTGTATCCCTCAGCTTTGTTACTCTGCCGGTAGTTTTTTCGATAGACAACTTGTCCAACGGAAAATCCACCGGTTTGCTGCGGGTGTTATAGGCCTTTTCAGCTCGTTCATGGGTCCTGTTTAGCCCCTGGCTCACTTTTTGTCGGATCAGACCCATTTTATCCGGTAGGCTTATCTCTGGATCTCCAGTCTGGATTCCACCCAGCTTCCTTAAGATTGGGTATGCAGTGCCGTGTGTCACCATTTGTGTACCAAACATGGCATAGTAGGTTTCTTTTTTTTTTTTTTTTGGCCCCCCATTATAAATTTTTTTTTTTTTTTTTTTTTGTTGTTTTTTTTTTTTTTTTTTATGTAATTTTTTTTTTTCAAAATTTGGGGGGCCGGTTGTTTTTCCCCCCCCCCTGCTTTTGCTTGGGGGGGGTAGAGCCCTGTTCTCACGTGTCGAATACCGTAGCGAGTCATTAGCTCGGCAAACATTTGAGACACAAATTGTTTTCCATTGTCAGAGTGTATGTACTCGGGTACTCCGTATTGATGGAAAATTGGGGTTTCGAGGAATTTGACTACCTCTGACGCCACTGCATGTCTCATAGGCTGCAGCCAGACAAATTTGGAGAAATGGTCGAGGCATACAAAAATCACTGAGTTCCCAGTTTTGGTTCTTGGATACGGGCTGTTTACGCCGCTTGCCCCGCTCTTAAATCCCCCGCTCTTCCCTCGTTGGGAATGCCTACTTCCAGGCTCTCCCGCTCTCCCGCCTTCCCACGCCCGGGATCTCTCCACAGCGCTCTGAAGCACAGCGCTCATTAGTTTTAAGTTTAGTTCTCTTCGTAAACTATACGAAATTCATCGCCCGGCCGGTCCGCGCTAATTACGGAAAGTCAGTGTGTTCTCCTTTTTCTCGCGCTTCGCGATCGTCGAGTATTTTTCATTCTCTCCCCCACAGCTTGCCACCGGCTACCTTGCACCAAGCCGCAACGCCGACGAAGCTGCCTTCAACTCGAAGAAATACTTGCGACGCCCCCCATCAAACATTTTTGATCCATTCGAGCCGGATTGCTCCACCAGATAAGTGCCACTTATTATTTTTTATTAACTGCCGGTCGACAGTCAGCCATTCGAAAACATAATTCGTTTGACTTTCTGTACGATTTGTCTAAAATCCAAGTCCGATTTAATCCGACAACGGCAGTTAGTAAATTACATTTCCAATTCCGTCTTCTATTTCTTCGTCTCCTTTAACGTGCGGCCATATTGTCTATTTTCCAATTCCCTTTCTTGTGCATATTGATGTACAAGTTTCATATTCACATTTGGCCGTACATCCAGTAAAAATACATCCAAAATTAAATCGAAGAAATTGCAAAATATTAATCCAAATTAAAGTGTGCAAATAAAAAGTCAAGCGTACAGTGAGAAAGAAAAGTCAGTGAACAGTGAAAAATAAATCAAATTCAAAAATTAAAATTCAATTATTTTCCCACAAAAATTAAGTGTTCCGCCAATTTAGGCCCACAAACACTGAGACTGATTTTTTTACTGTATATCCGCTGTGACAAATATTTGCATACATAATTCAAAATCCAAATACAGTCCACAATAAATCGAAAATACACAACACATACCCGCCGGCAAAATTTAAAATAAAAATTTTCCGCCATCTTGATTGCCATTTACTCCACATCTTATATACATATTTATTACATATATTATACATATTACATATTCCACATATATTACATCCATATTCCACATATATTACATCCATATATTACACACATATTACATCCATATATTACACACATATTACTTCCATACTCCCATACATATTATTTCTATGAAAACACCCAATCCCGAACATCGAAGTATTTCCGTCGGCCATAAATATATATATTAAATAAATTCCCAAAGCCGACGTGAAATAACTTTTGTGTCTCAGTGTGTTCTTTTATTTCCCCTTCAACATACATTCACACATACATACATACGAATTCCCCAAATTCCCGCGCATTCCAGCATTTCTCGCACATAGCCCGCAAAGGGGCTTTATGCACGAGTTCATTTTTGGGCATTTGTGTTTTTCAACGATTAAAGTGCTCTTTATTCCGAGCCATTCCAAATAAATTCCAAATAAATAAAATAAAGTAAAAAACCAAAAAATAAATACCAAGCTCAATTCTAATAAACTTAAATAAATACTGAGAGTTAAAAAATTAAAATTAAATTTACAAAATCCCTCATCGCTAGAGTTCCAAAAAAATTAAATAAAATACTGTCCACATCCCAGAAACCAGTGGAATCAATCTATTAATATTGTTCCCGGTTTGCGTCCGAATCAATTAGTTACCGCGTCCATTCTAGTATTTTTATTTGTTTATTGAGTTTGAGTATATATATACTTGATTTATTTTCTTGTTGGGGAGAAAAAAGAAAAAAGTTCCAAAAAAATATATCATCCGCATACCACTGCAACGTATTTTTTTGTTTGGTCTCCGAATAATTAAAAAAAAAAAATAGAGAAGAATACTAACGATATCCAATCCCATCCTAATTCGGCCAGCCACCCCTCATAAAATACTAAACGAAAAATACTTCATCAAGAACAGTATTTTTTCAGTATTTTATTTTTAGTATTTTTGGTATTTTTTGCGATTCTTGTTCCATCGTTCCACCAAAAGCCTGGGGATTATTTTTACAATAATTCAGCCACGCATATCGACTGTTTTAGCAGGTCGAGACCCTATTTCCACCAGTCCGTAATTTCTTTTCTGATTTTTGTCCGAAAGATCAGCGCGCACATTCCGAATCAAAACAGCATCCTAGTTTGGTATGTCCAGGGAAAGTTCTAACAAACTACCCCCTGTTTCATCACCGAAAGTTCCGAAAATCACTATAAGGACGCCCACACCTACAAAGGTCAAGACGCCAATTACCAAAAGGGCTCCTTCTCCTATCGAAAGATCCACGCGAGCCAGCACGAAAATGGTTGCAACGGCTGCCGAACTCGCCCTAAACCAATTTATTGAAGTCTCGGATCGACTTTCCGAATTGGAGGCGCGAATAAATATTCCCGCGGCGGTCCCTCCTACGTTGTCCGTCCTCAATATTCGCCGAGACGAAATCAAAGAGGTATGGGTCCGCATCAAAAAAGAGTACGATGCGTGTACCGCGTGCCTTGTAGCAGCCGGAGAAAGTGCAGCTGACATGTTGCCAGTTCTCAAGGCTAAGTACGGTTACTGCTACAGCGCGTACGAAAGGTGCGGCGCCCAAATAGCAGACCAAATAGCGCAGACTCCGCAAAATCCGCAAGCTACCTCCACTCCAGATACTCCTCAGACTTACATTCCGTCAGGCTGCCACCTTCCGCCGTGCGATACCGAGGTTTTTACCGGCGATTATCTTCGTTGGCCAACCTTCAGGGATCTATTCACGGCAATTTACATCAACAATCCTCGACTCACTCCTGTCGAGAAATTATTCCATCTCAATGCTAAGACGAGGGGCGACGCTCACAATATAGTTGCAAATTCACCCCTTACTAACGATGGCTTTCGCTCAGCGTGGGATAACCTCACTGAGCGTTTCGAAAACAAGCGATTGTTAGTAAACAGTCAATTGAAGATACTCTTCAATGTGCCGTCCGTCACACAGGAGTCTGGGTCAGCTTTGAAAGAACTTCAAAGTACCATCCAGGGGTGCCTTACGGCGTTAGAAATGTCCGGTATTCAGGTCGAAACTTGGGATTGCCTCTTGGTGTATATGTGCTCATCCAAACTCCCAAAGCTTACGCTTTCCCTATGGGAGCAGTCCCTTCACAACAAAGCCGAGATCCCTACGTGGCATGAGCTGAACGTTTTCCTAACGGAACGTCACAGAACCCTAGAAGCCATAGATGATGTTCGACCATCAGGTTCTAGTCAGGCTCAGCCCAGGGCATCCACATCCAACTCGGCGTCTCGGAGAATAAATTCTTATGAGACAAGGGTAACGCCTCGACAACCTAGAGGGTGCGATCTCTGTAATAGAGAAAACCATCCAATACGCACATGCGCCCAGTTTCTCCGGATGACGGTCGACCAACGCATCGCCTATATCAAACGAAAACAGCTGTGTTTGAACTGCTTTGCGCGGACACATCAGCTGCGCGACTGCGAAAGCGCACATAATTGCTTCACGTGCCGCGGCCGCCATCACACCCTCCTACACCGAGGCACCCCATCCCCAGCGCGCGCAAATCCAACGCCAACGCCCAGATCCAGACCGAATACTCCCGGTCCTTCGGCTGCCAGTGGCACGCAGCCAACACTTCAAAATTATTTTGCGGCAGGCTCTAGGTCAGTCCTCCTAGGCACCGCCATGATTAGTATATGCCATCAGGGTTCCAACTACCAAGCGCGAGCCTTAATAGACTCCGGATCTGAGGCTACCTTCATTACTGAGCGCCTTTTCAACCTGATTAAGCTGCCGTTCCAGGTTATCCAAGCACAGGTCTCAGGGCTTAATCAAACGGTCTCCGCTGAGACTAAAAAGCTCTGCCAATTGACGATTCGTTCTCCGACCCGGCCTAGTTTGCAGTTAAACACCACTGCCTACGTGCTTCCGCAAATAGCCGGAAATCTTCCCTCATGTCCGCTTCCGCAACATTTCCTGCGAGATCTTCCCGAACTTCCACTAGCGGATCCAAAGTTTTATGAGAGCGCACAAATAGATCTTTTAATCGGGGCCGATATACTTCCTTCCATTCTACTAAGCGGCACCCGAGCGAATATCTGTGGCTCTCTTCTCGGTCAAGAGACCATTTTCGGCTGGATTCTAACAGGACCAGTACCCGCTCCGAGGCAAGATAGAATTTCATCGTTTTCTACGCATGTTGCACACACGTACGAAGCGTCTCTCGATAAACTCCTCACCAAATTCTGGGAGGTGGAGGATCTGCCAGTAAAGGTGGCAAAAGAATCCGACGTGATCTGTGAGGATAATTTCCTTCGGACCACCACAAAAGACGATACCGGCAGGTATGTCGTGAGTCTTCCCTTTCGAGATCCTGAGAACATGAAATGCTCCCTAGGACATTCCAGATCCCTGGCGTTGGCTCAATTCTTAAGAAACGAGCAGCGGCTAAAAAGGGACAGTACGCTAAAATCCAAGTACGACTCAGTAATTCAAGAATATCTCGACCTCAACCACATGAGAGAAGTCCCTCCTACCCACGATTCAGCGTGTTATTACCTCCCACACCACGCGGTGTTAAAACCGGAGAGTACGACCACCAAACTTCGAGTGGTATTCAATGCCTCCAGCCCTTCAGACAATGGGGTCAGCTTAAATGATATCCTTCATGCTGGCCCGGTCCTACAGTCCGATCTAACCATCCAGATCCTGAAGTGGCGATATTTCCGTTTTGTGTACAGTGCTGATATCGAGAAAATGTACCGGCAGATCTGGGTAGATCCGAAGCAGACAGCGTTCCAACGTATCTTATTCCGCAATAGAGAAGGATACATTCGCGATTTTGAGCTAAAAACTGTTACGTTTGGGGTCAATTGTGCACCGTTTCTGGCAATTCGGGTCCTGCAACAGCTGGCGACCGACGTGCAACTAACCCATCCGAGGGCGAGTAAAGTTATTCGTGGTTGCATGTACGTCGATGATGTCCTTTCGGGAGCTGACTCTGCAGAAGAGGCTCACCTTACCATTCGCGAGTTGCAGAGTGCTCTCGATTCGGCTGGTTTTCCATTAAGAAAGTGGACCTCCAACCATAAAGAAGTTCTGGCTCATATCGAAACCAATCATCTTTTAAACGCCGAGTTCCTCGAGATAGATACGGAAAGCACGGCGAAAACTCTCGGAGTCCGTTGGAAAGCAACATCCGATGAGTTTTTCTTCGCCCCTCCAGACCTATCCAACGAAGCCACGCTCACGAAACGTCATGTTCTTTCCCAAATCGCCAAGCTGTTTGATCCAGCAGGCTGGCTCGCTCCTTTCGTGGTCTGTGCCAAGATTTTCATGCAGGAGATCTGGCTTCATGATCTTGGGTGGGATGATGAACTCCCAATTGAACTGTGCCAAAAGTGGCGTGATTTTCTCAAAAGCTACTCGGTCCTAGATCAAGTCCGAATTCCCAGATGGGTTTCTTTCCGCCCTGAGTTCCGAGTCGAACATCATGGATTCTGTGACGCCTCTCAAAAGGCGTATGGTGCTGCGATCTATGTGCGCGTAGAAATTGGGCACACGACGCTAGTGCATCTCCTTACAGCCAAGACGCGCGTGGCGCCAGTCAAAACTGTGTCGCTTCCAAGGCTAGAGCTGTGTGGAGCTCTATTGCTATCCGAGATGGCTGAATCCATCCTCCCCCATATGCCAGTGCTGTCCTCGAAACTCCATTGTTGGACCGATTCCACAATTGTGCTTGCATGGCTCGCCAAACCAGCATGCCAATGGACAACGTTCGTTGCCAATCGGGTAACAAAGATTACCCAGTCCACAGAGGCAGCCAATTGGGCACATGTTCAATCCGAACACAATCCAGCTGACTTGGCCAGTCGGGGAGTGCCTCTACAAGACCTGATCGACAACTCCCTTTGGTGGCATGGACCAACTTGGTTGTCAAAGCCACGAGATCAGTGGCCTTCCCAAAGCACCGACTTACAGGTGACCGAAGTGGAAAGGCGTCCTGTCAAGGCCCATGTGGCGTCCATCCCGACAGAAGACATCCTTGATCGCTTTTCCAAGTTAGATAGAGCTTTACGGGTCCTTGCGTATGTCCACCGTTTTGTCCAGCGATGTAAGAAACAGTCGCAGATGTCGGAAGTCCGTCTAGAAGCCCAAGAACTTGTCGCCGCTGAACGGCTCATGGTCATTAGCACTCAGCGCAGATATTTTTCTAATGAATATCGCTGCTTGAGTCAAAAGCGTCCTGTGTCCGCGACAAGTTCAATCCTCTCCTTAAACCCCTTTCTAGATCAGAAAGGGCTTATAAGGGCTTGCGGCCGCATAACGGCCTCCGAAAACTTGCGATATGACGAACGACATCCGATAATACTCCCGTACGAATGTGCACTCTCTCGACTACTGGTGAACTTTACGCATCTCATAACGTTGCACGGAGGTAACCAGTTAGTCGTACGTCTCACCCGGTCAAGATACTGGATTCCGAGAATAAAGAACTTGGTAAAGGCTGTGATTAACTCCTGCAAGGTCTGCGTTATTCATAAGAAGCGCTTGCAAATTCAGATGATGGGAAGTTTTCCGAAAGAGCGAGTGTCTTTTTCCCGGCCATTCACGTACACAGGGATGGACTACGCTGGCCCTTTCGACATCAAAAATTACACAGGCAGAGCGTGCCTAATTACAAAAGGGTATGTGTTGGTTTTCGTATGTTTCTCCACAAAGGCCATCCATCTAGAGCCTACATCCGATCTGACGACCGAGAAATTTCTCGCCGCTTTCGCTCGGTTCGTATCCAGAAGAGGTTGTCCCCGTCAAGTGCAGTCCGACAATGGGAAAACCTTTGTCGGCGCTGCCACCCTGCTCTCCCGAGATTTTCTACAAGCCGTAAAAGAGTCTGTGACTGATGCGTATAGTCATCAGCAGCTCAACTGGCAATTCATTCCTCCGGGGGCACCCCATATGGGAGGCCTGTGGGAAGCTGGTGTCAAAAGCTTCAAAACCTTGTTTTACAAGTCCACCGCTACTCGAAAGTACACCTTTGAAGAGCTTTCAACCCTCCTAGCGAAAATTGAAGCTTGTCTAAATTCCAGACCGCTATCTCCCATGTCAGAAGATCCTACTGATCTCTTAGCGTTGACACCAGGGCATTTTCTCGTCGGCGGACCTCTTCTGTCCATAGTAGAGCCCGAATTAAAAGGGGAATCCAAGTCCATTGTGAATCGGTGGCAACACTTAAAGGCGCTCCATCAGCAATTCCAAGCTCGATGGAAAGAGGAGTATCTCAAGGAGCTCCACAAGCGTAACAAGTGGCAGGCCCCGACCGCAAATCTCCGCGTTGGCGACCTGGTAGTCGTCAAAGAAGACAATCTGCCCTCGAATGAGTGGCGCCTTGGCAGAATCGACTCTGTTTTTCCGGGGGCTGACGGCAATGTCCGTGTCGTCAACATTCTCACGGCACGCAAGATTATTAAGCGTCCCGTGACCAAGGTGGTTCTTCTGCCAGGAGAACACTCCAACCGTCTTCCTCAACCAACATCCTCCGCATAATTCTCCAACCATCCTCGTCATCTAATCATTTTTAAATCATCTCCATGTTTGTTTCTTTTTTTGTCCATTACTCCCTACCAGATCACATCATGGTTCCTCGTCCACGCAGCGCTCAGGCTTTGGAGAGCAGACGTACTCGAGGTTTAAATTCCTACCGTTGCCGAGTCTGCCGTGGAATCCATCCGCTTCGGAAGTGCCAGAGGTTCCTAAAGCTGAGCGCAGAGAAGCGGCTTCGAGCAGTGCTTGTCAACAAGTACTGCTCAAATTGTCTCGCTCACGAGCACTCTGACGTGAGTTGTCGCAGTGGCGACAAGTGCAAAACGTGCAGCGGGAAGCACCACACGCTCCTCCATATGCACGAGCGCCCTCTGCCGTCGGCTACCAATCAGCGTTCGCGCCGGCAGAATCCGCCAACTCGCCAAGCGCTGGCCCCGGCAAGGCGCTCGGCATCCGCCGCTTCTCAGCAGCGCTCGCGCCGGCAAAATCCGCCAACTCGCAGAGCGCTTGCCTCTCCGCCGCGCTCAGCCTCCTCGACACCGGCACCGTCACTGGCGTCCATCCTCCAGCGGCACAGTGTCAACGTCCTGCCGACGGCCATGGTAATCCTGGAGACCGGGCTCAAGAAGTTCGACACAGCCGCCCTCATCGACCCGTGTACGCCGACAAGTTGCATCGACGCATCCCTGGCGACTGCGTTCCGCTTGCCGACTACCACCGTCGGCGACGAGCGGATTTGTACGGCGACGATTCGGTCGAAGCGCGACGACGACTTCAAGTTGGAGGTGGTCCTGAAGGTGGAGCCAAACGTCCGCATCCGCACCCCCATCCGAGAGCTTGCTGACACCGTGGTCAGCAAGTACAGCGACCTCCCGTTGGCCGACGAGCGGTTCTATCTACCGGCAACCATCTCCGTGGTCCTGGGTGCAGACGTCTACGGCAAGGTCATCCGTCCTGGCTTCCACCTGGTCGACGAGGGACTCCCAGTGGCCCAGCGGACGACTTTCGGGTGGATCCTGTCCGGTGCCTGCAACCAGTCCTAGATGACACGTGGGGCTTCGTTGCAACGCTAGCGATTGCAAGGGGAGCGGAATGTTTACGCCGCTTGCCCCGCTCTTAAATCCCCCGCTCTTCCAATGCCCGCTCTTCCCTCGTTGGGAATGCCTACTTCCAGGCTCTCCCGCTCTCCCGCCTTCCCACGCCCGGGATCTCTCCACAGCGCTCTGAAGCACAGCGCTCATTAGTTTTAAGTTCAGTTCTCACTGTAAACTCTTTGAAATACATCGCCCGGCCGGTCCGCGCTAAGTACGAAAAGTCATTGTGTTCTCCTTTCTCTCGCGCTTCGCGATCGTCGAGTGTTTTCCATTCTCTCCCCCACAGCTTGCCACCGGCTACCTTGCAACAGCCGCAACGCCGACGAAGCTGCCTTCAACTAGAAGAAACGATTTGCGACGCCCCCAATAAACACGGGCCAATAAAGTCGATAAACAACCTTTGACCGGCTCGTTCCGTGACCCTTTGTTGTCCCATGGGTGGTCGGTTATTTTTGTTGGTGGTCTTGCTGATCTTACAGACCTCGCACTCTTTCACTACCTTTTGCACATCTACTGCCATACCTGGCCAGTAGTAAAACTGTCGCAACTTGGCTAGGGATTTGTGCAAACCCCCATGCCCTGCGGTCATGGCATGATGTGCTCTCCAGACTAAATCAGATCGCAGCTCGGCGGGTACCCAAAGCTTCCATGCTCGAGTTTCATCGACGGCATCGCCCGAGCTGAACCCTATCCGCTTGTATACAAAGCCGTCCGTTGTTTGTACGTCTGGGCCTTTTAACACACTTTGGTCCACTGCCTGCACTAATTTCACGTATTCCGGAGATTGGAAAGCCGTCGAGTCCAGGTTAATCTGTATGTCTTGTTCTTCCGCTTTTGCTTTCTGTAGCTCGTCCATATGCACTCGTGAGAGAGCATCCGGCACTACGTTAAGTGCTCCTTTCCGATGCTCGATGGTAAAGTCGAATGCTTGCAGCTTCAGACTCCATCGTGCTAATCTGCCGGATAGATCCTTTTGACCCATCAGCCATTTTAGACTAGCATGATCGGTGATCACTTTGAACGGCATTCCTTCTACGTAAGCGCGGAATTTGGTTATGCTGAGAAGGGCGGCATAGCACTCGAGCTCTGTTATGCTATAATTCCGCTGTGCCTTGTTCAGTTTGGCTGACATGTAGGCGATCGGATGTTCGCCGCCTGAGTCATCAGTCTGAAACAAAACTCCTCCTACTCCAGTTGTTGATGCATCGCACTGAATGGTGAAGGGTTTCTGAAAGTCAGGGGTGACAAGTACAGGTGCTGATGCCATGTTCGCTTTTAGCTCTTCAAATGCCTTAATTGCCTCTTCGGACAATTCAATTTTCTTAACGCGGTCTTTCTTCAAAGAATCATGAAGAGGTGCCGCTGTTTGGGCATAGCTTTGAATAAACCTCCTGTACCAGCCAGTCATTCCCAAAAACCTCCGCATCTGTTTGGGAGAGCTTGGTTGAGGAAATTCCTGGATTGACTGGATTTTCGAATCGTCCGTTCGTATGCATCCCCCTCCTACTACATAGCCTAGATATCTAGCTTGACTATAGCAAAACTTACTTTTGTCAACATTTATTGTCAGTTTTGCACGCTGCAAGCAGTCACTGACCTGGCTCAACATATCCAGGAGTTTTTCAAAAGTAGGTGAACAATTAGTAGGTCATCGAGGTACACGAATACATTCTCGCGAAGCGACGCCGGTATTACTTTATCCATTAGTCGGCACATTCTTTGCGCTGCATTGCACAGGCCGAAAGGCATGACTGTAAATTGATATAGTGGTCTGCCGGGTACTGTAAACGCGGTCTTCTCTCTACTTTTTGTTTCCAAGGGTATTTGCCAAAAAGCGTCTTTTAAATCGATTGCGGAAATATAGTATGTTTCCTGTAAACGACTTAACAGACCCTCGATGTGTGGCAATGGGTATGCATCTTTGATAGTCCGGGAATTGACCTTGCGAGCGTCGAGGCAAAGGCGATTTTTCTGGCCTTTCTGGACTAGAGTCACTGGTGAACTCCAGCTGCTGTTGCTTTCTTCGATCACACCTAGACCAAGCATGCGATCTAGCTCGGCATACACCAGCTTTTGCTTGGCTGGGGAAATCGGATAATGCCGCTGCTTGATCGGCAGGTCCTCGTCGGTTACTTCTATTACATGCTGCTCCAAGCTGGTCTTTCCTAAACCTTTATCCAGACATGATGGGTATGTCTCAATTACTCGCCTCAGCTTACTGTGTTGTTCTGGAGATAGCTGATGAGGCATGTAAGCGGTTTCGGGCTTAGGAGGGTCGTTCATATCCAAGTCTCCAGTCATTAAGTCGTATTCCGGTGGTGCTTCGATGGCTGCAAACTCGGTTCCGCCTTTACCAAGGAATGTTAGGCCAAACGTATCCCAGAAGTTAATTCCAAAATAAAAACGTTGTGTCAGACCTGGTACTATCAGTAATTCCTGATCCTTGGTCTCTCCTTCCCATTCCACGGGTAGGGTTATTGCTCCGACTACTCGAGTTTCGCCGCTACTAGCTGTGCGCACACATTCTTCGCCAAGCTTCCTTATGGGCCGCGTCCGGTTCCTTAAGAAGGCTTCCGCCCCTCTGCCAATGCAATATTCACTAGCGCCTGTATCCAGTAACGCTAGTATTTCTTCTCCGTCGACTTTAGTTTTGGCAAAGAAACGGTTATCGTTTTGTATGCTTACTACCGTGTCTACTACTTTCTGCTTACTCTGCTCGGGTGTCATATAGCTTGTGCATTTTTCGTGTGTCCCGTGTGGTGTTATCAGTATCTTCTGAGCCGTGGAAGATACGTTGTTTTGCCAGATCATACTCCCTCTCTCGTTGTTCTAGGCTCTTATGGGGAGAGATTTGTCTGGGCGTCCGCCCGGCTGCCCCGGTCTGGCCTGACGGACTCCGCGGAAAAGCCGCGGGACTGGTGTCTCCTACCTTCTCACACACTCTACAAGTGGCGTCATGGAATCTAGTAAGGCAGGGATCTTCTTTTGGATGCGTTCTATAAAAATCCGCAGATCTGCCGCATTTATAGCAGACCAATTCGTGGAGTGGTCCTTGGCATCCCTGTCCGTTTCCTAGTCCCGATCGGGTGTCTCTTCGCTTCCGGTTAAATTCTTCCACAGTCACCGCGTCTGGAAAATCCTGCGGCGTTTGGGAATCCTCGAGCTCACTAACCGGCCTGCTTCGCGCGACACTGCCGTTACTCCGTAACCAGCGGTCCACTCTAAGTCCTTCCTTCTTCAGATCCGCTAGAGACCTAATTGGGGACGTCAGAAACAAGCTTCCCATCTGGGCATTTAGATTGTCCTTAATGAGCTCAACGAATTTGTCCTCTTCTAGCTTGTTCTGCAATCGGAAATGCAAATTATGCATATCGGATACATAGTCGCTAAAAGATTCGTTTTGTCCTTGTCGCCGTTCCATCAACTCCTTGATCTTCATGAGGTCACTCCCGGATGAAGAAAAAGCGCGTTTCATTTCCGTTGTTAGCGAGTAGTAGTCAAAGTCTAAATCGTCCGCTCGATCCTCCATCAATTGCCAATACCATTTGCTGGCGGCTCCTACCAGTAGGCTATGGAATTCGCGAAAAACTTGGCTCGGCTCTATCCGATAAAGCACTTGTAGCCGTTCAACGCGGAACAAGAAACTTTCAACGGTCATACCGCGGCTGTTTCCGTCAAACTTCAAATTCCATTTGTCCAGCCGAACGCCTTTTGATGCCTGGTATCCGGGGCTCTGGTCGTATTCGGGGTGTCGTGGGGTGAGCTCATATTGCGGGAGCATACTTGAGCGTCCCTTTGGCTGACCCAGGGGCAAATTTTCTACCCCTACAGCTCCTTCGGTATCGTTTAGTTGATCCTCTTGTTGTTGAACGGGTAATTCTTCCCGTTGTCGATTGGAAAAGCACTTTCTTCTTTGTCCCTTTCATTTGGGCATTTCGTTTTTCTTGTTTCACTTGTGAGTTCACTTGTGTCTTTCACACTTTACACTTGTCTATGTTTAACTAACTGTTCACACGCGCTATCAGCCTAGTACGGCTGACTAAGGGTTGCGAATAAAAATCAAAGATAATGAGGGGTGCTGTTTTGCGTTTACTAAGTATCTCTTTGGTGAAGAATCCGTCCGATATTTAAGCCCCACAAAAAAACAAATATCCCTAATTAGCAGCTTCTACACAACTGGGTTCCACTGAACTAACAGCTCTTCTCCTCTTCTAGTCAGCTCTAACGTTCACAATGGGAACTAGCTGTGCCTAGAAGAAAAGTCTGTCCGAAATCCCCCTCCAGCCAGTCGTCGGAAATCAGGTTATTTGACCGATCATTCTCGGGCTCCACAACCTGCTGCTATCTGACCGATCATTCTCGGGATCCACAGCAGTTTTCCTATTTCTCTGGACTCGAGCCTATCAAACGACCGGACCATCTAGCCCAGTACGTCGTGTAGCGTCGGCCAGAGAAACTAAAATACGTCCCCCGCCCAAATATGTCAAAGGATGCCGTAAAGACTCGAGCCTATCAAACGACCAAACTCTTGGCCTAGTACGTCGTGTAGCGTCGGCTTTACGTTTCCTGTCAGTTCCCCCCCCCACCTTTTCTGTCCTGGATCGACAATCGCACAATAGATCCGCACAGCAATGGCTAAATGCGTTACCGTAACGTCTGCGCTCCTGCTCTTTCTGGACTCGAGCCTATCAAACGACCGGGCTTCGCCTAGTACGTCGTGTAGCGTCGGCCAGAAAGCACATCTAAATTGAATTTACGTTAATTTAAAAAAGAAAACCTCCTATTCGTTTTAAAGAATTTTTCTTAGTAACTTTACCCACAATAAAACAAAGGACATCTATGATTTAAAAAAAGAAACCATGTATAAAGTCACCCCCTATTCTGAGACAAATTCCTGACTGATCAAATCTGACCGTCGCAGAAGTTGTGGACTTTAAATTTACAATAAATAATAAAAATTGTAGCTAGCATTGTTATTAAATTACTTAACTCCCTTGCTCTAGATATGGCCAAGTCATTTCTGGCATTTAAAAATGGAAGCTATGCCATCCCTAGGTTCGCCAATCCAAATACTAGATGTATCTAGGTGGTTGACCCTAATTCCTTAAAGAATATGAAATCCTTTCGTTGGGCGCCAATTCTGTTACGTGGGCATATTAGTGCCCTAGTTTTGAAAGGACTTGGGCCGAGGGAAAGTCATCCGATGTTCAGGCACCAATTTTTGCCGGCATAAGCTCGCCGGATGGGGTGGGTTCTTGGTAAGACTTTCTCCTCTCCAACATAACGAGAATAAATATTAAGATCCCTGAAAATTAGTAAGAGTTGTAAAG